GGGGAGGAATAAGTTTAAGCCCAGGCCTGTGCCTTAACTAACTGCACCGTGGGCGTGAGAACGGGCAGCGCAGCTGGGGAAAGACCTGGCGCTGGAGGAGTTCAATGTGCGGTCGGCTGTGGGCGCGCGAGATTTCCAGAGAAATGGAAGCCAAGCCCTGCCATAGTGTTGCTGTTCTGCCGTGGGGGATCAAGCACTTGAGTGCAAAGCAACAGATTGTAAAGAGAAACTGTGGTATTTGTTTTGCTCTCTTTGTCCCCAAATAGAAACAGCATTTCAGGATCCATCAGCTCATCATGTGTTAGGCGATTGGGAGAAGTCTCTTTTGTTGTGCTCGTTGCTCTAATGCGCTCTTATGACCTTTTGGAATTGACTTTATTTATTTGGGTTTAGACCCCAGAAATGTGGGAAGAAGGCAGTGGGAGGAAAGAAAGACATTAATCAGATCAGAACTGTGCAGGTGAGAGGAGATAAATTTAGTATCCATCAGTGTAATAATGCATAGCTAATTGGTAATAATGGATTTAATTTTCCCCCAGAACTGTCCACTGACCAAATCAAACTCCTCTTCTCTGGCACCTCCGAGACACTGGTAGTTGCGGGAGAGGGTGGACCAGAGGGATTCTTGAAATTTTTCCCAATCTAGGGATTCTGATTATGAAGGGAAACTAATAAAGTTTATTGAACTTTGATGCAATCTATTGAGAAATGACTGGCAACATGCAATCATCGCACATGTTAATGAGTACCCACTCTTTCAGTGCTGTTTTAAATAGTGGGCTTCGTGATGAGGCAAATAAAGTTTCTTTTTAAAAAAGATGTATTTATTTGTGCATACAGAACTGGGGTACAGGCCAGAGGTGCAGGGAGTGAGAAGACTCACCAGAGACAGACTGGGGAGCAGAACAGGCAGATCTACTGAAATCTACTGCTTTGGGGAGCAGCGAGGAGACAGGAGAGTTCTGCTGTGCCGTGTGGGTCAGCTCCCTGGCGGGGATCCAACTCGTGCTGCCGTGGCCGTGGACAGCTTCACAGTGATGCATTTTAGCCTATTGTGCCTCCAGGGAGAGGCCCAGGTCTGGTCTATTTTAGAGAATGGTCAACGTATCTCGAATATTGGAATCTAGCTTGAGGAATATAGAATAGATTTGCATTTCTGTAAAAACTGGGAAACTAAGCAAATACCACCATGTAATATTCTTAAATTGTAGTTGCAGAGATATGTTCAAACTGTTGAAAGTGATGAATATTTATTTACAAAAAATATGTACTGTAAGTTCCAATACTAACTTATCAATACACCTTTACCAATAACTTTAATTGATCAGTAGCACTTTAGAAATTTAAAGTAAGGAATCTTACACGTCTTCATGACGCTCACAAGAATGTTCATTATAGAAATTTTGGACTTGGGGATAATTACAAGTAACTTAGCTATACAAAATAGGAAATCATTTCTAAAACTGAAGTTCATATTTACAGTGGGATACCATGTAGTTATTAAAATTTTATTGTAGAAAAACTTTTCAAAACAAAAAATACTGGGATAATATAGAAAATGGCAATATTCAATTCTCTCTGTAATATAATTTTAAATTATTTATAAAGCAATACACTTTATATGCTATAAATTATTGTTATTACATACAGCAGGTAAATAGATAAAGGCATAAAATCTGGAAGGCTATATACACCAATATGCTACTCATCAATACTGGTGAATTTTTATTTTTGGGATTCACTTATGTTTTCAATTTCTGTAATTAAAAATGTCTTTCTAATAATAGACATTTACTAAGTATATAGTAAAAATATAGCAAAAATATTTTTTTAAAGATTTATTTATTTGTGCATACAGAACTGGGGTATAGGCCAGAGGGGGCGGTGAGAGGCTTCACCAGAGACAGAGCGGGGAGCAGAACAGGCAGATCGACAGAGTACACTGCTGAGGGGAGCAGCGGGCGGTTCAGGAGAGGTCTGCTGCGCCCTGTGGTCACCTCCAGGGCAGCCGGGAATCAAACTCATGCGGAAGTGGTTTCAGCTTCTTGTGCAGTGCTTTAACCCGCTGCGCCACCAGGGAGGGCCGCAAAAATATTTTTTTTAAATATTAAAAACTTTAGGTGATAAACACTGCCATAAGATAAATTCTGAGAGTGAAGAATAAGTAACAATGAAATTAAAGGAACAAGTCTTTCTACCATGATGATTTGATGAATTGGGCGTATTCCCAGCTTTCTGAGTTATTGTTAGAAACAAATTGTGGGAGCACTATGATTTTGCACTCACTCTTTGACTAGCCATTATTGTTGTTGAGATTGCTTAAACAGCTCAACCATACATATTTAATCACTGAATAGAAAACTTAATTCTAGGGAGTGATAAGCAATCAGGATAATGGGGGGGGGGTTTAGTGGCTTTTCCCAAAATATTCACAACATATTATTAGATGTCAAATGAAATTTGAATATATTTTTGTGGAAAAGGAACTAAACTCTGATGAATTTTACAATATCCCAGAATCTCTTGAAAATACATGGTATGTGTCCCTCTCTGCACGTGGGTCAGAGATTATTTCCAGGAATTTTGTAATTCTGAAGCCAACTCTACATTCACATCCTGTGCTGATATTTGCAAGCATTTAACCCACACACAGAAGAACCACTCAGATTTCTGAATGTGGCTGGTTGGCTCACAGAGGATTTTATCAGCATCTCAACCGACCACTGGCCATATAACATTTGTAAGATGAGGCTTGGTGTGGAGAATAGTCGTCCTCTGTGTTTTGTTAATATCTTACAGTTGAGTGAAGAAAGCAGTCATCCTGATTCTCCCTGTCACTCTTCTCTGTTGCCCCACAAGTAAAGCAGAAAGGCATCAACATTTGCATAAGCCACTATTCTGTACCTGGAATTGAATGTAGATTTTGTTTAAGAGAAAATAAAGCAGCAGTGAGTTCGTTCCTCTATCTAAGTTCAGTGAACATTTACTTCCTGAGAGATGAATGGGGAATATTTTATGTCAATTAATATATATTGAAGGTGTATAAAACAGTGATGTGTCTATTACTCACCTGTCACTGATGTAAAATTGACTGCGAAATTACTTTCCAGAGTTCAAAATTTACTCCTTCCTCCGACTTTTCATTTATTCACTTTTCAAGACAAAAAGTAATTTCTACCAACTGCTGGATTATAAATTCAACCTGGGATCCGATCATCAGCCTACTCTTTCTTGTATCTCTCATCACAGATGACAAAGATATTGCAATTGGAATTCAGCTGTGACAGTATAGATGATTAAGCTAAAGTCTAATTGGCTTTGCAGTATTAACAGAAGCCAAATTTAATGGCTGATTTTTTTCCCTATAGTAAAATAAACCCCGTGATTCACAGTCTCAGAGAACAGAAGTCTGTTGATTAAGAAAGTCTTTTTATGAGCAGTAAAGAATTGGCAAATGAAAAGTTTGAGTCCAAATTTGTATTTTTCTTTCAGAACAGTGTAGGATGTAATGATTCTATAAGTGAACATTTAAAGGCATACGTATTTGAGATAATAAAAATATTTTAAAAACATTGACAATCCATTGATGAGTGAAGGGAAAACTTGGCTATACTTTTAAGTACTGTTAGAAATAGCTGAATTCCTAGAAAGTGACTTCATAGCAGCTGATGCAGGTAGTCACAGAAATGGGAGCTCTGCCCAAAGCTGTGTGGGGTGCTCTCTCTTGTAACTTGGGACCCCAAGTGTCCCCATGAGATTGAAGCAAACAAATGCCAGATAACTAGGCCATGAGCTGAGGAAATGAGCCACTGATAATTTTCAGACTGGTTGCTATTTTTAGACAGCGTGTCTCCGTGTTTAGCAGCACCTTACCCCAGGACAAGCGGTAGCCTTCCTCCTTGTAACCCTAATGTAAGTAAAACCTCCAGGTCGAGTAGGTTTTCTATTTAGTTTAGACTGAAAACTAAAGAAATGGGTGAGCATACTTTCAGTGGTAAATTTTTAAATATGGTAATTAAGCCTCTGTCCGTATTTAAAGCTTGATCTGAGCCATCAAAATTGGCCTTTGTGCCATTCCAGGCACAAAGAAACTCACCAGGCACTAGAAACTCACCAATCAATAGTGAATAATAAATGAGGTCATCACATTGTCCATATCTGGTGTGGATAAATAGCAGGGGTGAAACAAATGGACTCCATCCTGCTTCAGGGATGGGAACAAAATGGTTTCCCTTCTAAAATGTTTTTGTAATTTCACATCTTCAGTGACTCTCTCTGAAATCAAATCAGCACTACTGTAGTCATAGAAAGATAGATATTCTTGTAACTCAAATATGGGTGAGCATGTCTTTGCTTAGTTTTGTCAGTTCTCCATCCCAAAATGATGGAGCGATTATGGGATTTGAGGCAGACATGAGGTTCAGGAGCTGATGGTAAGAAACTTCTGAAAGTTTGGTTAGCTATGAATTTGGGGTACTAACAAAGTCTACTAAAATGTACTAGTAAGTAAAAGCCTTTAGTGAAGTAAATTTAGCATCTCACTGTGCTTTGCAGTGCTTTCATTCCTGTGGCAAAGAAATTTGTTGATAAAATGTGTATTTAAAGATCATGAAGAGTTAGCCTCATTTATGAAGGAAAACATTGAAATCTCATAATAGCCCTGGGATTAAAATATTTTTACTGTTTTAAATGCCAGCCTCCCAGTCTAAAATTTAAGCAGATAAATGAATCGAATTTATGTCCTGAATGTTAAAATCGAAGAGAGATTTTATTTTGATAGAAATTTCTGTGATCATCCCTTATGGATCACCCTTATAGAAATCTACTTCAGGATATACAGTAAGCCAAAACAAGAAGTAGAACGACAATACAGGTTTCTAGCTTTCACAGGAAAATGATTCGTATTATGCTGTGCGGATATCCATTGGAAGTAATTAAACTTCTCGCTGGATGGCAACATAAGATAAGTGAACTAAAATGTTACTGATTTCTTCTTTCAGGGGCTGATGTTATCAGCTTTGATGGCCATGTCGTCTTGCCATATAGATTCAGAAACAAGAAGATGAAAACACTGAAAGACGTCATCGCCTTGAAATTTCAAACATCTGAAAGTGAAGGGGTCATCTTGCACGGGGAAGGACAGCAAGGAGATTACATCACTTTGGAGCTGAGAAAAGCCAAGCTGGTCTTCAGCTTAAACCTGGGTGGGTGGTGGCCCTTGGTATCGCTCTTCCCTATACTGATGTTCCTGTGAATAAAATGTGAATGGCTGCTTAATCTAGAAAATGCAAATTGTAAAAATAGTCCCTGCTATGTTGTCAATTCTCTTTTAATTTATTGTAGTTGGTAGATATTGGCAACGGATGCATTCAAAAAATAGTAAGCATTGGTACTATACAAGCATTCTACCAGTACTGACAATGTAACAGTGAACAATAAAAAAAAAAAAAAAAGTTTGCATTCATGAAATGTATGACCTAGTGAATGGCTCAGCCAGTGTAGTATCTATTCATTATTATTTCCAACAGCCATACTAAAGGAAATGGCGGCAGGTAGGTAGTACTAGGTCAGTTAGATAGATTGCTGTGATAAAGGTGCTGTAAAGGTAAGAGAGGCCAGCATTCACTAAGTGGTAATGGAGGTCCTTTCTGAGATATGAGTGATGGCAAAGACCTCTGTGAGAATAGAAGAGCTAGGAGAGGAAGGACTGACTTAAGACAAAGACTAGACATTCTTAGTTGCAGGAAGGAAGCTGTGTGGATGCACCTAGTCAGTGGGATAGATGATGAAACCCCATAGTTGGGGGCTGGGCTGTCCAGATTCTGTGAGATCATCTAAGGCAGAGCAACGAGTTGAGATATTAAGTGTGAGAGGCCATTGGTGGACTTTAAACTATGTGGCATCTTTCCCTTAGCTTTAGAGGTCAAATGAGGCTTCTTGAGTGAACATGCTTCTGTCAATCTGTGAGGCACAGCCAGACTTCAGTGTGGTACAGGTCACAGGAGATGTGACCAACAGAGTCGGTCTGTCTAGGAGATCATTTTGGAGGCAAATTTAGCACGATTTGTACAGGATGGGGTGTAGAGTAAGACCGAACGAATAAATAAAGGACCATTCCTAGGAGTACGGACTTGAGCCGCAAATGTAAATTCCTAGCGCCATTTTCAGAAACAGAGAAAGTTCTATTTTCTCTATAGCGTTTGCCCCATTTGAGGATTAATTTACTCTGGAGGAGAAATTGTGGAACAGTTTGGACGTGGTGCAGTTTCACTGCTTATTAGCATTAAACCTGAGATACATTTGAGTTGCGCATATGAGAGAGAAAAGAGGTGTTCAACTGGAGATGAGATGAAGACAGAAAGTGGGGGCGTAAGAATATGCACTACTATGGAGGCTGAGGAGAAGCGAGGGCTGGCTGTGGTGCATTCACCTCAGTGTCACATCAGATGGAGACAGAAGAGTCAGTATTGACTTTGACCACAAAGATTTCTGCTGATTTACTTTGGTGGAATAGGATGGTCTATGTCTTGATTACCACAGGTGAGGAGAGATAAGAGGTCTGAAAATGGATATTTCAAATAGAATCAACAGGAAATGAAGAACCAGAGAAATGAAGAATCAGAGAAATGAAATGCTGGCTAGAGAATAGGTTGAGGAGTTTCTGTTATATTTTCAGATATTTACAATGTCTGTTTTAGTTCTGTGATCATAAGGAAATAATAAAAAATGACTATAGGATTTATGACCAAGGTTGTACTTTGCCAGGTTAATAACAATGTTAAAAATTGGAAGGCTCAAGCTAAATGTAAAGAAAGCTAAATGTATGGAAGTAAGTTGATATCCATGCAAAAGGTGGGTGAATAACTAATTATATGAGAAAAATTATATCGTTTGAAATAAAAACTGTAGGGTGAATAGTAAAAATAATATGTCATTGCTTTTCTATTCCATATACACATACGTACATGGAACTAAATGGGTTTGGGGGAAAATCTGAAAAGAAGCAGATCGAACTTTTTAATAGTAGAAATGAGTGATTAATGTTTTATATATCAATTATTCATAATGTTCCGTGCTTCTAGTAATGAACATGTGTTCATGTACTACCTTGGGGAAGATAGAAGAATCTTAAGTCATTTTTAATCAAATCAGAAAAAGGAACAAGGGAGGAAAGATAGGTAGAGAAACCAGGAACCCCAAATGTAGGCACTTAGAAAAATTTGCACCTACACACTCTCCTAGCAGTGGATGAAACCTAAGATCTGTTTTTTTTTTTTTCTCCCAAGCCATTAAAAAAACAAAAAGAAAGAAATTGAACCAAAAATTTTAACAACCGCTCTTCTTTATAAAGGTGTGACTCTCCTGAAGCTGGTAACTGGCCATAGCCCTCCCAAGGAAAGGCCGCACCAGTTCCCTCTGACGTGGCAACCTGGCATCTGTTGGCCGCGGGGCTCCCCCCACTCACACCCCGCCCTTCAGCCCCGGCCCAGTGGGGACCCAGAGGCTGCCTGCAACCTCAGTACTGCAGTCATTTCTTGCTCTGTCACTTGCCCCCGATTCCCCCCACCCCACAACTGTGAACACTTGTTCACAGTCACACATCAGTATTTGCTGCCCTCACCAAAGGGGCAGAAAATATGATCGAGGAAAACCACAGAAAATGTAGAATCTAAGTCTCATTATCACCCTAAATGTGAAAAAGGGAAAGTAATTTAATGCTTGAGTAAATCATGTGTTTCTTTTCATTTCTATATTGCTATTTATGCTAGAACCGTATTATGTTTTATAGTGTTTACTTAGTTTTCCTGACTATAATAACCATAATTGATGAGACAAATAGACAGTGATATAAAATATTTAAACCGTTTCCAGAGATGACCTTCATAGACATTTTTAGATTCTCACAACCTTTCACTCTTACTTATTTATAGTCCTGTTACCATGGAGACCTTCTTTTAAAACTAGAGGGTAGCCACATATATATTTTTGCAGGTGTTTATTATAATGTATAACTGGAGCAAATTGTCTGCCATGATACATGGCATTGTGACTAAGATGTGCCTAAAAGGTAATGTTCTCAGACTTTCGGAATCAGAGAAAACTGACCAATAATAATACCACCACCCACGCGAGCTTGTTGAACGAGTGCATTTCACGGCTGTCGCCAAGCCGCGCGCTTAGAAGTGCGCTGAGCCCTCGCAGGTCCCAGTTGACTGAATCCGCAGCAACCTTGCCACGCAGGTGAGGCTCTGGCCGCCTTACTGGTGCGGGCTCCGCGGAGAGGCCAGCTGGCAGGGTCATGGCAGCCCCCGGCCCTCTGGCCCAGACGTCGTCTACCGCGTCCCCCAGAGCTGGTAGCAGTGTAAGAGAAATTTTGTTTTTCATTTAAAGGAAGCAGCCTTTCCTCGCTCTTAAAGAGCATCCGTGTCCTTAGCACGTTCAGCTTTTGAAGGGCCGTTTCAAGGGTTTCCGTGTTGACCCAGCCCCAGGGGGGCTCCCCGGCAGGCGCGGGCTGCACCCCTGGGAGCGGAGGCATCACCACGGCCTTTCTTTCCGTCCCGTGACGCAGGGAGCAACCAGCTGGGCCCCATCTATGGCCACACGTCGGTGACGACTGGGAGTCTGCTGGACGATCACCACTGGCACTCGGTGGTCATCGAGCGCCAGGGCCGCGGCATCAACCTCACCCTGGACCGGAGCCTGCAGCACTTCCGCACCAACGGCGAGTTCGACTACCTGGACCTGGACTATGAGGTACCTGCCTGGCGCCACCACCTGAGCCCGGCGCGGGAGGGCGGGCCCGGCCCCTCCTGCCTGCCTGCCCCCTGTCCCTGCTGTCCAGAGGAACAAGAACGCAGCCACTTGGTGGTGGGCGGCTGCGTTATTCTCAGCTGTAGTCATGAGGACTTGAAACATTTAAAAGACGTTGGTGCCGAAGTAGCAATTTGAACAGTAGGGCTGTTTAACCAGCCCAGAATAAACCTAAGGTGTAGTTTTTCCATTGGTGCGGGGAGAGGGTTCCTGAGACAGAGAAGCCACCGGAGGGTTGGTTTAAAAAGTAAGTTTTTAGCTGTTTCACTTTTTTGTTGAGGTGGCTTCGGTCCACTCACTGTGAATGAGAGGTAAGGGACCCCACCCTCCAGGGGTTAGCCTAAGCAGTGTGAGGCTCATTCTCCTAAAAGAAAGTGAAAGGGGCTCCATGGTGGCCCAAGGGTTAAAGTCTCAGCTCTCAAGCTACCACCGGCCACTGCAGCTGGCCAGGGAGTGATCCACAGGGCTCAGCAGAGCTCTATGGTCTCCCCACTGCTCCCCTCAGCAGTGTGTTTCAATAGATCCACCTGTTCTGCTCCCCGCTCTGTCTCTGATGAATCCTTTCACCCTCCTCCCCCCACACTTCTGGCCTATAACCCCAGTTTTTATGTCTGAATAGTAAGCATGAATCTGTAAAAAAAAAAAAGAAAAGAAAAAGTCCCAAAAGAAAAGGTACACGTGGAGAAGAAACAAAACATCATTTAAAACTTGAATTTAGTAATAATGTCCTTAACGTGATGCTTTATGCCCTTAAGCACACAGGATCATGTTACTGGCAACTGGGGAAGAAAATTGTAGACAGCAAATACGGTGTGTCTGTCCTTGTGCCAGTCACTGGCCTTTGGCCTTGCTGATGCCCACACAGCGCCGGCCAGCTCCCTGGCACAGGAAAATGTATCTCCAGATTCACCATGATTTTAGATGACTCCTCCTTTTCCTTGCATTGTTACTAATTGCTTGTTATTTTTTTTTAATATATATTCTCAGTTTTCCTCTGTTCTCCCCATGTATGAAATCTGTAGTAAATGCATTCACCTAATCAATATGAATAAATTGAATTTAAGTGAGTCCTTTTTAAAAATATCCTTATAGACCATCATTAGTTTGTGCTTTCTCCCATAAAAATGAACTAAGCACTTAAAAATTCCATCATACTAAATTAAAGAATGTAATTTCTAGTGCTCTCCTAAAAAACAAAGACTTTGTCTTGTGTTTCAAATATGCAGTCCTGACATTTCAGCAACTTGATGTCTCAGATATAAATGTCTTAACTATCACTTGCATTTTCAAGACTTTGTAAAAACATCAGTAATGGTAACTGAATAATAATTGAGAGAGAGAACGTCTGGCTTATATTTCTTTATCTTGAAGCTTTGCTTGCTACTAAGATCATTCACTGCTAAGTCAGTATTAGCAGTAAGGCTATTATTGGCATATTATATATATAATGAAATAATATACATATGTACTTTTGTATTATATGGGATTATACTATCATATTGAACTTTGACCAAAATATATGGGACAATTTATAATCTTTTTACAGATAAAAATAGACATAGAATCCCAAGAAGAAGTACTCCTGAGGCTTGAGAAGACCTAAAATAATTTTTAAAACCTGCACATAATAGCCCCCCAAAGTCTAATGAATTTTGCAATCCAGTGGTCTTTGGATCGCAATCAGCATACATAGGAGAAATACACTATTCCTCGCTTTTGGCTACCATTTCATGAGCTTAAACTGTTGATGCTTGTTATTTCAAAATGTTGGGAAATGTTTTTGATAGTATGTCTTTAAGTAACAAATACAGAAATGTATTTTTATTATTAAAGAAGAAATTTGCTGCATAAAATCTAAAACATACTCAGGAAAATGGATAGCATGCCTTTTGGGTAGCAAAAATGCAAGTGATTGTTGCAATTTTCTTGCTTAAGTTATAATTTCATTTTCAGAATTAATGATTCTATTAAGCCCTTTAATAACAACATAATTTAATATAGAACAGATTTTGGAAGCAGTCAAATATACCTGTATATTTTGGTTGAGACATAAGTGGCTTTGGTTGTATTGATGTTGTTTTCTAATCTATTGTGAAGGCTGTTATTTTTTTCAAGCCAAATCCAGTATGAATGTTTGTATTTTATTTTTTCCAAAGATAACCTTTGGAGGTATACCTTTCTCTGGCAAGCCAAGCTCCAGCAGCAGAAAGAATTTCAAAGGCTGCATGGAAAGCATTAACTACAATGGCGTCAACATAACTGATCTTGCAAGAAGGAAGAAACTAGAGCCGTCAAATGTGGTAAGACTTTTTCACCCCCAAATTAATGGTTCATAGAAAAACCAGTGTATAGAAAGCAAACAAACAAAAGGAATCAGAAAAAGAAAAGTAACTATAATAAAATAAAAAGCAAAGTCATTAAGCAGCTATAGATCAGAAACACTCTGCAGGGGAGGAGGGGGGAGAAGGACCGGGACAGGTGTGGGAAGAACACCAGGGACTGTGGTGATGGTGCCAGGGGAATTGGTGGAAATTTCATTGGGAAACTATACATTGTACTAAGATGAAGGATGATGTAGTGAATATACTTAAAAATAGTGAACCTTTTTTCTATGAACTATCGAATAACGACAACAACAAAATCGTAGCATTTTCCACCATGCTAGTGTTGGGCTCATGCTGTAGATATCAGCTCCAGAACCTGGTGTGTGTCCCCTGACGCTCTGCAGAGTAGGGTCTGCTCCAGGCTGGAGGTGTTGCTGGGGAGACCTAGAGTGCAGAGACCACACGTCTGCAAGCTCCTGACCACTGCACTCTCCAGGAGGTCTGATGGTCTTGTCCAGCTTTTGAGCCTGGGGTTCTCCTAAAAAGATTGGGCTAGTAGATATGCCCTAGTATGTAAACAGAGTTTAGGGTCGACAAGAAGACTCTACATGAAATGGTACAAATTTCTTAATATATTTTTTTTTTCGGGAAAACAATATCAAATCGAAGCCTTTTAATATTACAGGAAGCAGCCTGTAGCATAGAAGTCAGGTAGCATAGGATCCTGTAGATGAGGATACTGAGACTTCCCTGGAAGAACAACTTCCCATGGTGACGGGGTATGAGTGGGGAACATAGACATAGACACAGACAGTGGACCCCCAGTTTGTAAACCCAAGGTCAAGGCCACCTTCCAGGCTGTGGTGTGTCTTAGCTAGAGCAGTGCTGATATGGGTGTGATTTAAAGCTTAGTATGAAACACAGCAGGATGCTTTTGCTTTCTCGGAAATTGTTGCTTAAGATAAAGAGACAGAATTCAAATGATCGGGTGACCTTTCCATTATTCGCAAGTTTAAGGAGCAGTAGTGTTATCTCTACACACTGTCCAGTTTGTCAGACTCCAGAATTTCATTGTGGAGACTCATGCCAGTGTCAGTGTCCACGGCAAGCAGCATTGTGGTTAGAAATGCTGCTTTAACTCGAATAACAAAGACATGTAGTAGAGCAAGCTACCTATCATTCTATTTGTTAACATAGAATGAACAAACAGGACACATGAAATCAAAATTATGCACACATGTTTGGATTGTAAGCAGGCAGTGAGCAGGAGGACTTAAGGCCAGCCCCTTCACTAGGCAGATGTTAGTGGAGGACCTTGGCCTTCAGCTGCTGTTTCAGCAGAGTTGACTCCACAGTCATCCACAGCCCCCTCCACACACACCACCCTCACTAGGCGTCCACTCCAGAGTCCGTGACGCTCAGAAGGGTAACAGTCCCCCAACACGGCTATCGCGGTCAGTTACGACACTTGGATTATTATGTATAGGCGGTTTTTATTGGTTAAAGTAAGCATCCAAAAATAATAATCTCTGAAGGTAGTATGAGAATTTAATTTGAATATTAATTCAAAGAGACACCCTATCCTGGGTATAATGGTAAGTGTGCTGAGATGGAAGAATTGTGCAGGCATGAAACGTTTAAAAAAGGAACTAGAGGAACCAGATGAAAATGTCCCCAAATTGCATTCCTTAAAGTATTGTGGTGGGATAAAGGAAGGTAAAGGCAGATAGAGATTTTCAAGTGTTTACAAGGAAGGTATTGAGACACTGGGATATGAAATTGGCTGCATCTAATTGTTAATTTTTGTACAAAAAAAAAAAAAAAAAGACCACATGGAGGAAGAAGTGGACTTTGTTGCAAGTTTTGTTCTCATTCTGTGCCTTCCTATCATTAATGTGATAGGAAGCATTAATGTGACCATTAATGTGATCGTGAGCATTAATGTGTTGTGATAGATGCACAGTTTGGGGGAATTTAAATGCGAGTTTGAATTGGAGAGCAGCATAACCTGACATAATCACAACTGCCCTAATGCTAAATAGTTATTATTAACACATATATGTTAGGTAAGAGGGTAAAAACCAAAGAATGTTTACCCCATAATGTCACTGAGTCAAGAGCAACCACCTGCCCCCAGTTCCCACTGAGAGGAGCTGATGGGTTGGTGAGTGATGGACACAGCTATCCAGAAGAGGCAGCTGCTGGGGCCTCTCCTTGGCTGAGGGAGCGCCCCCTGGGGGCTGGGGCGCCGCAGCTCCTCCTCCCTGTTTCAGAGCCCAGGGGTCCACACTCAAGCCTGCCACTTCGGTCCCTGCATCCTGTCCAGGGTCAGCCATCACACCCACTGCCTCCCCTCATCCTGATGGCCCCCGACGGCAGCGGCACCCTGTCAGGTCCACACCCCCGCTGGGTTCCTGCTGAGATGTCCAGCTGCAGGACCCAGGCTGTGCTGCTGCCTGTGAGTTTGGCACAGGCTCTGCTCTGCTGTGGTTGGAAGCTTCGTCCTCTGCTTCCCCGGGCCGCCTCTCACGTCACGTGTACTCACCCAGGCCCCTCTGTCTCCTAGGGAAATCTGAGCTTCTCCTGTGTGGAGCCCTACACGGTGCCTGTCTTCTTCAACGCAACCAGTTACCTGCAGGTGCCTGGACGGCTCAACCAGGACCTGTTTTCTGTCAGCTTCCAGTTTAGGACCTGGAACCCCAACGGCCTCCTGCTTTTCAGCCACTTTGCAGACGACCTGGGCACCGTGGAGATTGACCTCACCGAGAGCAAAGTGGGTGTCCACATCAACATCACGCAGACGAAGATGAGCCAGGTGGACATTTCCTCAGGTGAGAGAGATCTGCGTACCACTCTGGCATTGGCTGTGGCGACGTCCACGTCAGCCTTGTGCTTGTGGTCGGGCTCGTCAGTGCCATGTGGGTTCAGGATTTGGAATAGTTATTGGTTGTCTTGGGTGCGACCAATAAGCCAATGTCGGGAACGTTCTGAGAGGTGAGGGCGGGTGGGGGCCGCGGTGGGCTGAGGGGCCTGGGCACCAGCATCTTCCATCTCTGGCAAGTGCTGGTTCACAGGCAGCAGGGCAGCGGACCTCCCTGGCGTGGCAGGTCTGAAAAGGGAGAAGGTCGAGTCTGCTAACAGGAGTAGGTGGTATCTTCAGACTCCATACTGAGCTGTAAAGTTATGCAGATTGCTAGAAGAAAGAAACCAGTGGAGATAGGGACTAGAGACTGGCCCAGAGTGGGGAAATTTAAATGAGATTTTGAGTTGGAGAGCAAAATCATCCGAAATAAACACAATTATGCTAACGCTGAAGAGCTGTTATTGGCGAATATATTTTTGCGTTAATATGCAAATATTCCCCGTGCACGTGGTGCGTAAGCTGAGGCTGAGGTGATGCTGTGTTACCTGAACCAACTTCGTCACCTCGGACTCTGTTGGAATAGGGGCCAGGGGACGCTGAGGTGAGCGATGAGAGGTGACAAAGGACAATCAGGCGTGACTCGCTGTGCTCAGGGACGCAACCCCCCCCACCCCGTTGGCGCCCCTGTGGTGATCGCTGGTAACTGTGAGGTAACAGTGAAGAGTTGTTAGCACGTGGGCAGCGGCCCAGAACTCCGACCCTGGTGGAGATGGCGCTGAGCGCCGAGTTGGCGCTGACGGCAAAGCCTGCGTGTCTATGTCAGACGCCGAGCACAGTGTGACGTGTTCTGACGTGTTCTGACGTGTTAAATGGTTTGTGGCCATCCCCAGCGCCGGCAGGTGCCTCTTGCATCTCCAGCATATAGGGCAGTCCCTAAAACGTGCGGGGAGCTTTTGGGTGGCCCCTCGAGAATAACACCTCGCTCCCCTGAACTAGCTTCTGACAGAACGTCTGCTGTGCCACAAGCTTCGTGATTCTGTGTAGCTGTCAGAGGAACTCAGAGCCCAACTTATGTCAGAGGTGACCCCGACTTACTGAAATGGAAAGCTGCGGCGAAATGCTTCATTTTTACTCTTTTGGTTTTTGCTTTGCTCTGTTTTATTTTGTTGTTGTTTCCTTGAATCTGCAGAGTTGAAATGACTGATCAAACTTATTTATCATGGCTTCCCAGCATAAGTTCACCTGAGGCAATTTAGAGCAAATAGGAACTATCTGGAGAGACCAGACTAGCAAAGCAAATACGTATACAAATATTTACCACAGTTGAGAAGCTCCCACTAAACCCTGTCCTGATGGAGGAGTATGTCATGGGGATAGACACGTGTGCCCCCCAGGCCTTCCTGGCTCTGGGCTGCCCACTTCCGGCAACAGGAGGTGAGGGAAAGAACAGGACCTCACTACCGGGAGACAATTACTAAAGTAATCGGCTCTAGTGGGACTTCAAGGTGCTCTTATCTAGTTTAAATTATTCATTAAAAAATGCTTTCAAAACAAAGGAATGTATTATCAACAATTGACTACAATAGATTTGCCTAAATACGATGAAAGAGTGGACTTTAGAAATTATGTCATTTTTCCCAAGAATCTGTGTAAATGAAAAGAAACTGATATGCCATCTGAAACCTTCTTTAGTCTCATTAATCAATGTCGATGAAAATGCCCTTGCATATTTTCAAATGCTAGTGTTTCAGGTCTTTCTTCTAAGAACTTAACAGTTATAATTGCTCTTTTGAAAGGAATAAATAACCAGTGGTACCGTAAATGTATTTAAGCTATACTTATTAAAAATAAAGGCAAGAACAAAGCTCTCCTGTAGACAACAAAGACAAAGTCCACAGAAAATGAAAGTCCTCCCCATTTTAATGCATTTTATCACATTCAATTAAATGTATGGAGAACTTAGTAAAAGTGGCAACACTAAATTAAAGAGATGAGTTAACCCAGGTCACTGTTTTCTCTAACAAAAGGAAATTGTTTTATATTATGTTGAATGTGAGTGTGGAAGAATGTCAATTTTTTAGACTTACATTTAAAAATACTGCAAAAATACAGAAAATACAGACAATCTAGAAGAGGAAAACACTGCCAACAACATTTAGCTGTACACACAGCTGCACGCAACACTCCTACAGAAGTGAATTGAGAGGCCACATTATGACACTTGATACTATCTGTTGGCTTGTTCTTGTAACTTCGTTTTGCTTTTAATTAATTGATTCTGTGGTCCAGCATAAAGGTAACTCACAGAAGCTTTCTGATTCCTTTTGGGATAACATTGTTCTTTGGTGAATTAAAAATAACTGCTTTAGGCCCTCCCTGGTGGCACAGCGGGTTAAAGCACTGCACTGAGAAACTAAAGCCACTTCCGCATGAGTTCAATCCCCGCCTGCCCCGGAGGTGACCACATGGCGTGGCAGACCTCTCCTGACCCGCCCGCTGCTCCCCTCAGCAGTGTACTTCGCCGATCTGCCTGTTCTGCTCCCCGCTCTGTCTCTGGTGAATCCTCTCACCCTCCGCATCTCTGGCGTGTACCCTAGTTCTGTATGAATAAATAAATAAATCTTTAAAAAAAAAAAATAACTGCTTTAAGTTGGGAATAGTCAGTATATGGTTTGCTGCCTTTTCTTTGTCCTTCCTTGTTGTGACTATTTTTAGGTCTTGTTGGTCAGGGACAGTGGGCTCAACCTGTAAAATTCAGTCAGACTCTGACTTGGGTTTTCAGAGTGGCTTACATTTCTGTGAAAATGTTTTCCAATTTGCTGCTTTGAAGTTTAGCGAACATTTCAATATATTTATATTTATGTGTGTGTGTGTGTGTGTGAATCACACACTTATGCATTAACTTTAAGAAGGAATGAGTGATAAATGAGAAGGTGCTGGAAACCTCAAACAGATAGTGTCTGCTCAATGGGGGTCATTTGTATCTTCACTTTGGTTTCCAGAACCCTGTGGAAAAGTTGTCAGAGACTCTTTGTCCCGGGTCATGGATTATTGGGGGACAGAACAGGCAGGGTCTCAAGGTGGGAATGGCGTCGGTGAGCGGAGATTCCTAGAAAAGGGGGAAAAAGGGAAAAAAGGGGAGCAGGAGCTAGGAAGGCAGGGGAGTGGGAGTTGGGTGCAAGTCTTCCTGCTCCACCTTCAGCAGAGGTTTATTTTAAACACTTCAGGCAGGCAGAGGGTGACATTAGCATATGAAAGGGGCTGAGATCACAATCACCTTTTTCTAAAGAATAGTCTGGGGTCTTTTTGACCTTTAGTTGAGATTATAACATTTTTAAAATCAATCTATCAAGGTTAAAACAGGTACATAGATTCACAAAGTTTAAGACTAATATTACTATATTTACTACAGTGAAGATTACCCAAAATAAAATCCCTTAAACATTATCTATTACTTAATGGCTTTCATTCTCATAGAGACATCCTAGGGGGTAAAGTAAAGTGAGGGCAGGAAGAGGAAATTTCTTGTAAATCAAATTAAGGTAAGATTCTTTGAAAAACTTGTTAGAAAGTTTAAGTGAGTTTCCTTGAAGTCTAGAAGGTAAAAAACCTGATTAGCTCTGAATAGGTGACTTGGTGAATTTCCATATCCAAAGACTAGATAGTAGAAAGCTTGCGTGGTTATTTAGAAACTGAATAGAAGGCAATGTGAGATAGTAGAGTGAGAAGGTTTGGGTTTTCCTCTGTCTGGCAGTGAGAGAGACTTTGCAGTAACTGCCATTTGTTTTTATTAATCAGCCAATTGTCAAATCACTTTTGACTTCAAGAGGAATTTCTCACCCTGGTGCAGTGCTTGCTTGTCAGGGCCAGGTAGTGCCTCCTGAGGCTGAGGCAATCCAACTGTAAGCTGAAGGTTGCTCAGAATATTTTGATATTACGATTATACAAAAAAGGGAGGTCATGACATAAGTTAGCATGGAAAGTCTGATTTTTCAGAGCACTTCCGTTTCTATCCAGAATATGTCAGTCGATAGAGGTTGCATAGCTTGTGTCAGAAGAGGCTGTTTTTTTAAATTGTTTTTCTAGCTTTAATGAGGCATGGTTGACAAATGAAAAGTAATTGTATTTAAGTTTTACATTGTGTTTTTTAAACTGTAAGGCGTGATTATTTAATACATATATACATTGTGAAATGACCACCACAGTCAAGTTGACACGCCCACCACCTGAACAGTTACTTCACGGGGGTCCACGTGCGTGTACATGTGTATACATGGATATGTGTGACAGGATACCTGATATTCTCGTAGCAAACGTCAAGCGCATAGTACAATATTATTAGCTATAGTGTCCATCCTGTTTATTTGCTTTCTCAGAACTTATAACTTATAACTTATATGTTTCAGCCAACATCTCCCAGCCCCTGGCACCCACCTCTGGTACTATCATCTTGACCTTTTAAGATTCCTTTGATCATTGAAGTATAACAAACATATAGCATCATCTTAGTTACCGGTGTACAACTTAACTCAATGTGTGTATGCGTTGCAAAATGATAATCATGATAAATCTAGTAAACATTCTGGTAAATCTAGTTAGCATCCATTACCAGAGATAGTACATTTTTCTACTGTGGTGAGAATTTCTAAGATTTCCTCTCAGCAACTTCAAATATGCAATACAGTGATTAGCCATAGTTTCCATGCTGGACGTTGCATCCCCACGACTTTTCGTATTATAACTTAAACTCTTTGCCCCATCTCACTTTCCCTCATTTCCCACTTCTGGCAACCAGTCTTTTCCGTAGACCTGTGAACTTGCTGTTTTTTAGAGTCTAAATGTAAGTGAGGCCATATGGTAGCTGTCTTTAATGTATTTTACTTAGAACAGTGTCATCGAAGTCTATGTTATCGTACATCGAAGTCTATGTTATCTTTTTTTTTTTTATGACCAAATAATGTGTGTGTG